TGTGCCACCACCGCCCAGCATCTCACTTCTTTTTATCTGGTCAGTGTAGTGGATTCTACGTAACTGTTCTTTCCATCTCTCCAAGTCTAATTACATTGCTTCTCTACTTAAGTGATATTTGTAATCTTCCCAGCCTGACGCCTGGAACACAATAGATTTTGTATTCAAACTGTAAGAAGTTGAAATGGTCAGACTTCTGAACTTGTGCAACTGGGAGACTCACATGCAGTGCTGGTGAACTCACATGGTAATTGTGACTTCTAAGTCGCTGACCAGGTTGTCTCTCTTTGGTGGCTTCCAACTTTACCATTCAAGGTATAATACATTTTATTTAGTAGCAGGGACCACTCATTTGCAAGTTGAATTTGCAAGGTTCCTTCCCCTCCCTTTGCCTGCTGTCCTCTTCTGGAATTTCCTCCCTTCGGTCAGGCACATTCTAGAGAGAGATTGAACCTCAGTGATTGAGCTGTTAATGATTAAACCATCCCTCTTCAGCATACAGAACTGTAGAGCATTGACTTTAGGACAACATCAGAATATGTAATGTTCCTCCTCCTTCTTTATTGTCTTGCATCAAAAATAACATCTTCAAATTGTTTTGAGGTTTAACCTACAGAAAAATAATCTATTGGTGCACAGAAATACTGGAGCTCTTCCATAAGATCCAAGGTCCTCTGTGGCTCTAACCAGGGAAGAAGGGATAAAAGGAGACAGCAGACTTCTATGACTATGACCCTGATGAGCATGCTGCCCTCTGCAACACTGGCCTTGGTCCCTGATCCCCACCTGGAAAGACTCTGCACTCTTGAATTCCTCATGGGGAGCTCTTCACCCACCTTCTCCGGTGCCATAGATTCCTTGCCATCAACTCTCGTCTCTCAAAGATTGGCTTCCCAGTAGTGAGCAGCCAGACTTGAGTCAGGTAATAGGACAATGAGAAAGCAAGGTTAAAATAGTCATACTGCATAGGAAGAGTTAGTTCTTTGAACCTTTTTGGACTCTATGTTTTTATATTATCATCCAGTTAACCTGTGCACTGTACCTATTTACTAAAGAAAGTTCCTCGGATAAGAATTAGTATACCAAAGCATTTTAGTTGATCTTTTAAACCTTTTGAGAAATATTTATCGTTTTAGAAGCCACCAACCTCCTATATGTAACATTGTAAACAGCATTTAAGTGTGGCTCTTTTGAAATGCCCATGCCCACTTCAGGACATGTAATACTGTCCTCTTACACACACATCTCTCTCTTTCCCTCCCTCCTTAATGTTTGTGCTTAAATCTAGATTAAAATCTTTCTCTAATGAACTCCAACTTTGCTTTACAGAAAGAAAGAAAGAGTAAGAAGGTAAAGATTTTTTCCAAGTCTGATAACCTAGGCGAGCCTGACCAGAACCTGAGAGCAATGTACCCTAATATTTTGGAGTGTATCCCCAAGTATCCAGCTGCCTGTTACAAATAAGTTCAGGGTTGCAAAGAGACCACCACTTCAAGTGAAGCGTCTCTACAAGCCAGCACTTCATTCTTGCTCAAGAGGGTGTGCCCGGAAGAGGAAACACATTAACCGGAAGTGCATTTTGTTTTTATTTCGTGGTTTTCTCCTATTGGCTGGGGTCTCACCTTATACTCTTTCACAACTGTCTAGATTTAAAAGTCAGCACAACAAAAAAATGAAGAAAATGGGGAAGTTCGGAGAATGTAGTGTGAGGGCCCAGACTTAACCTTACAGGCTCCATCTTAAGGAAGGGCCACCATCTCAGACCACCTGCTGTACTCAGTTCCAGGAGGGACCTCAGGAATGTGCCATGACAACTTGAACAGATACAGGGCAGTATCCTCCTGCAGACATCCTGTCTGTGGTTTATGGCCCTTGAAGATCTCTAGATAATCCTGCTGAGCAGCCCAGATAATCCTGTTCAGCAGGTTTTGGTTCACCGCCAAAAGTCTAAACCAACGGTTTCAAATGTGGTTTCATGCCCAAAGTTTAGACCAATAGTTTGAAAAAAATCCCCTTGCCTGCCCCATATCCCTTCTGCCCAATCCCAAATTGCCAATTCCCGGTTTGTGGTTTTTCCCTATAAAAACTCTCCACACCTGGGCTCATGGCCCCCGCCATATTTCCTTCCATCTGCCATGCAGTGGCCCAGGCTGAACCTGAATAAAAGGGCCCTCATGTGCTTGCATCGAAACCGGCTCCTTGGTGGTCTCTGGGGGTTTCAAGAAATGGATACAACAGTGAACAGGTTTTACCAAGTTTCGGATGAAACATTTGCATAAGTCTTTCAAGGTAGGGGAGATAAAAATATTTGAATTCCTTGCGTAAACACAAGTTTTACAGTATTTGATGGAAAAGACTAATATTTATTGTTTCTTACATGCTCAGATTGAATTCCTGACTCTACTACCCACTATAATACAAGGCATAATGCTGAACAATGTATCAGCAACATAATTAATGTCCCAAAGTATTATGACATCTTAGCTTTTCTGTGAGAGCTTTCCTTTCTCTTTAGATCCAGTCATTCTTTCTCTATTATGTATTTTTTTCTTTGTGACATTTACCCCATCATTTCTTAGGTACATGCTTCCAAATAGATTGAAAGCTTCTCAGAAATAAAAATTGCACATTTATTTGCTTATTTGCTTGTTTTAAAGTTTACAATCATTCATACCAGCTAATGTAGAACTATTAAGTATAAAGAATACTTTGGTAAGTATTTACTGAGTTTGTCAAAGGACAAAATTACAATAATATAGTTTAATGATCCTAATTAGCTTTTGTTTTCTGTTTTTGTTTGTTTGTTTTGAGACAAGGTCTCACTATGTAGACTTGACTTGCCTGGAACTCACTATGTAGGTTCGGTCAGCTGGCCATGAACTCACAGAGATCCTTCTGCTTCTGCCTCCTGAAGCCTGGGAACAAAGACTTGTACCACTATGACCAACCATTAATTGGTTTCATTTTAAAATGTAGAATCAACACTTCATTCTATAAAATAGAATCAATAGCCAAAACGTTAAGGAAAGGGAGTTGTTTCTATAGATAGAAAAAGACAGTCGTCCAATGGTGGGACACACCTATAATCCCAGCACTCAGGAGGCAGAGGCAGAGGCAGACAGATATCTGAGTTCAAGGCCAGCCTAGCCTACAGAGTGAGCTCCAGAACAGCCAAGGCAACCTAGGGAGAAACCCTGTCTCAAAAAGAAAAAAAATAGAAAGAAAGAAGAAAGACTACAGGGCTGGAGAATGGACTGGCGGCTGAGAGGACTGACTGCTGAGCTCTCCCAGGAGTCTCGGGTGCGCCTCCCAGCGTCCACCTGGCTTCTCACAATTGTCTGTAACTCTAGTTCCAGGGACTCTGACCTCTTATCTGGCCTCTGCAGATGCCAAGCACACATTTGGTGCACAGACATACATGCAGGCAAAGCACCTGTACACATAAAATAAAAATAAACTTTAAAAAAAAATAAAGAAAAGAAGGACTTTTAGAAGAGAATAAGTGGATGGAGAGAAACAAGGACAGAGATGAAAAAATGACTCTTTTTTTTAGATTTATTTATTTATTATTATTTTTTATTTTATTTATTTTATTTATTTATTTAGCATACAGTATTCTGTCTGCACATATCCCTGCAGGCCAGAAGAGGGCACCAAATCTCATTATAGATGGTTGTGAGGCACCATGTGGTTGCTGGGAATTGAACTCAGGACCTTTGGAAGAAGAAGCAGTGCTCTTAACCTCCGAGCCATCTCTTCAGCCCAAAAAAATGACTTTCTGGGGTTGGAGAGATGGCCCAGCAGGCCAGACAGTTTACTTCTCTTGCAGAAGTGCCCACATGATGGTTTGTAGACGAATTTCTAAATGGTCTTCATAAATAAAAACACGAAGCTAGAAATTTGGGTTAAAGCCCACAGAGGAACAGGACAAACCATGAGCTAACCTCACCTCACCAACTCCGCAGCTTCCCAGTGCCAGTTGCTTCCTGTCTACCCTCGCCTTTATTGCCTTGCTGTTCTGCCCTCTCGTTGGCTCTCTCTTAGCCCAGCTACATCACTTCCTACACAGCTCTGTCACTTTCTGTCTGTGTGTACAGACCTCCAGGACTCTATGTTTGGTACTGGGATTAAAGGCTTGTGTCAGCCGGCGGTGGTGGTACACACCTTTAATCCCAGCACTCTGGAGGCAGAGCCAGGCGGATCTTTGTGAGTTCGAGGCCAGCCTGGGCTACAAAGTGAGTTCCAGGAAAGGCACAAAGCTACACAGAGAAACCCTGTCTCGAAAAACAAACAAACAAACAAACAAAAAAGAAGTAACTTTGGGGTTGGGGATTTGGCTCAGTGGTAGAGCGCTTGCCTAGCAAGCACAGAGCCCTGGGTTTGGTCCTCAGCTCTGGGAAAAAGAAAAGGAAAAAAAAAAAGGCGTGTGTCACCACGCTTGGTTCTGTTCCTTAGTGTGACCTTGAACACACAGAGATCCTGCCTGCTAAGTGATTGGATTAAGGGTATGTGCTACCACTGCCTAATTTCTTTGTTTACTTAAAATGGTTTGCTATTTCCTCTGATCTCTGAGCAAACTTTGTTTATTAAAGCATAAATAAAATATCACGGGGTTGGGGATTTAGCTCAGTGGTTGAGTGCTTGCCTAGCAAGTGCAAGGCCCTGGGTTCGGTCTTCAGCTCTCGGAAAAGAAAAAAAATATCACTACATTTCACCACAAATAAAATATCACCACAATGGTTCACCACCACCTTTAACTCCAGCTCGAGAGGATTCAGTGGCTAGCTGTGTTCTTGCATATCCTCACATGTGCACACTCATGCTTTTGGGTGCACGCATGTCCGGCCCACCCCCCACCCCCCACCCCCCACCCCGCACCCCCCCAGGCCCTCGAGCATACACATAATTAAATATATTTTTAAAACTTTCTTTGTAAGGTGAGGACAAAGAGACAGAAAATGTACAAAAAGAAAATGTAAAGATGACTAGTTAGTAATTCAATTACTTTCAGTTATGTTTATTGTGTAAGGATAAGAGAATTTTATCATTAAGCTAACTGAAATTTGCCTTATTGGGACTTGTGACTGTTATTTCTAACCCTATTTCTTTGAAGGGCAGGTTTTAGTTTGGTTTCAGTTTGGTGTGGCTTAGAACTTGTCCTGACTAGGTTTATGTCAACTTGACACAAGCTAGAGTTATTTTATAGAAGGGAACTTCAACTGAGAAAATGCCTTTCTCCATAAGATCTGGCTGTAGACCTATCCCACTGTGGGTGGTACCATCCCTGAGCTAGTGGTTCTGGGTTCTATAAGAAAGCAGGCTGAGCAAGCCATAGGGAACAAGTCAGTTATCAGCATACCTTCATGGCCTCTTCATCAGCTCCTGTCTGCAGGATCCTGTCCTGTTTGAGCTTTTGTCCTAAATTCCTTCAGTGATGAACAGTGCTGTGGAAGTGTAAGGCAAATGAACCCTTTTCTCCCCAACCTGCCTTCCCTCCCTCCCCCCAAGACGGGGTTTCTCTGTGTTGCTTTGGCTGACCTGGAACTCACTTTGTACACCAGCCTGGCCTTGAACTCAGAGATCCACCTGCCTCTGCCTCCCAAGTGCTGGGATTAAAGATGTGTGTCACTACCACCCTGCTCCCAACTTGTTTTGGACATGGTTTTTCACCACAAAAATCTTAACCCTAGGACAGAACTTCAGTGCAAATTCTGTTTTTATTTTTATTTTTCACCTCATATGTTGGGGCATATTTCAGTCCAAAATAATGCTTTTCTATACTAATGCTTTTCTATACTAATGCTTTTCTATACATGACTCAACAACTCAAACAGTGGGTAAATAATTAGAGGGTGCAACAGTAAACCCTCAAACACAGTGGCTGAAGTATGTGGGCTTTACATTCATTTCTTGTTTGGTTTTTTGTTTGGTTTGGTTTCGAAACAGGGTTTCTCTGTGTAACAGTCCTGGCTGTCTTGGAACTTTGTAGACCAGGCTGGCTTCGAACTCACAGAGATCCACCTGACTCTGCCTTCCAAGTGTTGGGATTAAAGGCGTGCACCACCACGGGCCCGGCTCAATGATTGTTTTATTTATCTGTTTAGATAATTCAGCAAGCAATGAAGCTGCTTTCAAATTTAGTACGTATCATTTTCTAGTGCTTTACTTAGAGCAAGTGTGACTGGTTTCCTGTATTGGGAAAAAAAAAAAAAGGTTCTCAGTGAAGCTGAGTGCTTGGAATTTTACATCTTAAAGATGATCAGTAGGGGGCTGGGTGTGGTCATGCAGGCCTTTAATCCCAGCAAGTGGGAGGCGGAAGTAGGTGGATCTATGTGAGTTCAAGGCAACCCTTGTCTATGTAGTGAGTTCTAGGATAGCCAAGTGTGGGAGTCCAGGAAGGACTCCAGTTTGTGCCTTAATTCCATCTGGACTCAAGGTCAGAGAGTTCAAGTTTCTCTTTACTCTTTAAGGCTGAATAACAGAATGTTTGGCCAAAGGCATGGTTACCAGGTGTCTTGCTCTTCAAGGCTGAATAGCAGGATGTTTGGTGGTTACCAGGTGTCTTGAGTAGAGAGGAGTTTACACTTGTTTGTACCTGAACCACGGTGTCCTTCAGAGGGGGAGGTCTTTTGCCTCCACTGCTTTGGGTATAAAAAGACTGTGGTATTGACCCAGAGCGCTTCCGGTGCTATTCTGTGTCTCTGTCTTTTTCTATTATGTCGTCTATTTTTCATATCCATTATTTACTTTAAGTATTTACTTATCTATTAAGTGTCTTAATACTCACTCCTCCATTCAAGACTGTTTGATAGTTGGGCAGGACCTGGCAGCCAGGGCTACATAATAGAGAAAGCTTATCAAAAAAAAAAATCAGTAGGAAGAATAATTATTGCTGCTGTTTATGTTCATAAAATTGTTCTTTTGTATCATATGTCAGGAGTTAAAATTTAATATGATAGGAGTTAT